GGAAGATTTCTGTGCACTGGAAAGGAATATGTTTCAGTAATGAAACTATGGAATAACTCTGTCGTTCTCCAGAGAGTATTTAGTCTTGACACAAGTGAATTTAAAAATTTCAAACAAATTTTCCACAGAACAGTTGGACTCCATCCAGCCTACTCTTGATAGCTCATATTAGATCATTATTTTCTTCTTAAAATATTTTTCAAGTCCAATAAGTTTAAAATCTAGTTAAAGAAAATGGATCAATGATTAAGCAGCCTGTTGTGATAAACTGTTCTGCATAAATTACATCACATCATGCTCAGGTGACTGTATATTCCTTTTGGCAGTTAACAAATTCCTCACTTCTCAAAATCTGCAGGAAAAGAAAGAATTCAGATTACAGACTATTTTGAACTGATTGATTATGTTGGTAAAAGAGAAAATCAAACAAAATGACCATGTTTCCCCTCCCCTCTCCCACTGACTGCAAAATTCCTGCCTACTTGGGGCACAAAAGACCACTTCCACTATGGCTATATTTTGTGCATCTGAAAATTAATACCCAGAGTCTTGCTGCAACACAGCTGGCATTCTTCTTTCTTCCACCATGTGCAGTTGTGAGGATAACATTGTGATTTAGCTTCTGTAAAGGGGGATTTAAATGATCAGCAATCAATTCACCCTCAAAACCTCACTTGAAACCTAGCATACCTGTTATTTGCTTGGACCTCTTTGAATTTAGTGTGCTTAAATCTCCTATCAGGGACATCACGGCAAATGAGGCGGCAGGCAGGCATCCCACAGGTGTCTTTTGTTAATTAAAAAAAGTATCAATATCTTTGGGAGATATACGTATAGCCAGCTATGCCATTGGCTTTAATGTTAACAAATATGTGTGTGTGTGTGTGTGTCTTGTGCTGGTGAACTCGCAAGACATGTATACAGCACCAGGCAGAAAGTGGGCATTTTCCATTACAGTGCTGCCCAGCCCTATTCCTGCGTTATTTTAGTGGGACAAAGAATTAGTTGCTAACAGAAACACCAGGAAGTGGCTTTTTTTTTGGAGGGAGGTGGGAGGGTTGCAGGGTTTGATATATCAAATTTGAGTCACCGATTTTCCTCTGCAGTGGAGGTTAGAAAAGTGGTGGGAGGTAGTGACACAGATAACCATGTGGTCACTCATCACTCTGTCTGAGAGATGTTACCTGAAGGAAATGAACAAAGAAGGAGGATTTTGCAATTTTTTGCCAAGTAGAATTTTTTTCTATTGCAAATCAGAGTGTTGTACCTCAGGATTTCAAGGAGTTTCTTTCTGACCGTGAAGCAGCCAGTAGGGAATCACATGGTCCTGTAAAAGCTTGTGAAAACTTGTGTCTCCTGGAGTGAGGCTAAAAGATGAATCTATCCTTCCTGGGAAAAGCAAAGAAAAAACATTAAATTCGGGCCATGTTGCGATCAACGCTTTTGATCTACTCTTTCTGACATGTACTACTAAAAAGTTGCTAATTTACATGTAGATGAATATATGTATCCCTATATTAATCTTTGAGCTTTGAGTTCTCTGCACAGAATCGGTTCTACAAATTAAAGCAGTTTTCAGTAAAGTAAGATTAGAGTGTGCATCATTGAGTTTTGCACTCTCCTTCCTTCTCTTGTTAAAATACATGTGCATGAAATTTATTATCTCCTTTTCAAAAAAAAATATTTTTCAGAATGCTACTTAGATTTCTGAAAGTTTCTCAGATAGTGTTTTTTTTTTTTTTTCCTGGTCATGTCTAGACTAGTTAAATTATTCCCAGAGCTGCCAGAAGTCTGTACATAGCACTAGAAAACACAAAAACTGACGATGAAAAGATTTGCTCTTTTTGGAATTTGGTGGAGGAAATGTGTCTGGCATAAAGTGAGGGGTCTGCCTGAGCAGATATGGGAGCAGAATTAAAATAATCAGAAAATCTAAAAAGGTCATCACAAGAGCAACACGAACACAGTCACATTTTGGATACTCAAAATGATTTGGTTTGGTACTGTTTATTCTATTTTAGAGATTCCATTGGAAACTGCCTCTTATGGAAGTAAACTGAAATAATGTATTGGACACTTAAATGATCCTGCATTAAATAACTCCAAAAACAATTAAGGTGATGCACATTTTGTTTATGGCAAGTCAAAATGAAGATAACAAAGACTACTGCATTATGATTGTATGCCTTTTTTTTTAATCTTAATAAATGCAATTCTGAAGGTTATAACAGGCTGAAGTAATCTGGTCTGTTCAAGAATCAACTGACTTTCAGCAGCATTACACAGCCTTAGGAGTCAACTGACTTTCAGCAGCATTACACAGCCTTAGGAGATCTGCCACATGGAATATCCTAAAAAACTGAAGCTCAAATTATAAACCTGAAAATCAGCAATTAGTGTTTATTTCAAATATAACTTTTTGGAGGTTGCCTTTTTTTTTTTTTTCCCCACTGTTGACCACCAGGCCTGAAAAACATAAAGAAATATGGCAGAATAAAAAGTCACTTTTAAATATCAGATCCTAATGACTAACTGCTTTACTTCAAGAATTAAAAGGTGAATACCAAACACAACATCCTTGAGTTTCTAGAATTTACTATCACAATTAAATTACTGTCATTTTATTAATAGTGGCAGGCAAAGGAGAAAAGTTGCTTGCCAAAACAGCCATTTCCACATTTTTTTTTTTTCAGGCAGGAGATTTGCTTTAAGTTCCACAGAAGGAAGGAAAATGTACAATTTCCTCCTATGTACTTTCTCTTATTTTTCTGTGTCTCCACCTAAAGTTTCAACTATATCTGAATTATCATCTTTGCAACACAGAAATAATACGCAGAGGTAAAAGGAGAGTCAGCCTGCATACCTTCAACTAGTAAGATCAAGCCTATCAACTACATTATGGAAGAGTTTACTTTTGCTGGATTGCTATATTCTGTTTTAGGGATATCATTTCATCACTGAAGAAAACATCAAAAGATTTTAGGCTTCGGCATTCATGTCCAGGGTATGTTTCAAAGTCTTTCATCAACCACGGAAACTAGATTAGCACCAGAAAATATTTAACAGTTGCTATCTGGCCACATAAAAACTGAAGGACCTTTGGCTTAGCAAGAATCTATAAAATGTGATTATTAATTTTAAAATATTACACATGTAAAATGAAATTCTTCAGCTTTATTTGAGAAGGCTGACCTTAAAATAATTAATTGATGAAGAGCTGACAAAGATCCTGACTAAAGATAATGTCAAAATTCCTGGAACAAAATAATTATGCTAATAGCTATAAAAAGCAGGTTGTGAGAAACAAGTTAACAATTTGAGATGGCCTTACAAAAGTTTCTGGTCATAAAGGAAATGCTGTATTTCAATTTAATTTCCAAATACTATATGTACTTCAATGCACAATTTATTAGAGGAGTGGGTATAATAAGTCTTTAAATTAATCTGTTTCCCTAATAGAAATAATGAAAAATGTTTACTGTTTTCAATTCAGTAGGGATGGCCCCAAGCTAGGCCTCCTTTTAGTCACTGAATCCTAGTGAGCTGTTTTTAGGAAACTTGCATAACAAGGGAGCAAAAGTATCAAAAATATGCTGCTGAAATTGTCTTTAATATTAAAAAACAAACAAAAACAAAATTGTTTATTTCCTTTAAGAAGACAAACTTGGAGGGCGACATGTAAATTGCTGAATTTTCCTAGAGTTCATTCCTAGAGTCTGTATCGGGGCTGGACTGCACTTCTAAAACACAGCTCAAAGTTGCTGGAAAAAGCAGAAGACGTTGAGCTGTAGCTGAAGCCACAAAATACATTCAGTTCACGAAATGAACTAATGCATGCTTTAAAAATTGCAATTGTTAAAAAGTGAAACCCCTTAAATCCTTGAAATCATATTTGAAAAATAACTGCTACTTATTTTATATAAAATTGATGCAAAATTGCTGCACTTTTTGAATGGATAAAATATATAAATGTCCTTATATTGCACAGAAATATCTCTTTTGTATAAATTTGCATGAGCACAACAAAATTAAAGATTTCAAATTTTTCAAAATTCATTGCAAATATATTTGCAATTTTCTTAGCTGCTTAAATTGTACTTCATGATAGCATTACAGAAGATCGATTCCATCAAAAAGAAAAGGAAGTCTCAAACTCATTATGTTCAAAATTGACACATAATGTGAGCTTGCAGGTATACGATTCACTGCATTGTAATCATTAATCTGTTTTTAAAAGAAAAAATAATTTAAACAATTGTAATTTTTACAAGGTTTAGTCATGTAATAAAATAAGCTTTAAAACATTTTAATCCATTGAAATGCATAAATGTACTGCAAAATAGTCTTTGTTTTTGAGTAGAATTACTCAAAATATATTTATAGAAGTATCTACTGATAAAAAGAATAAATTAAAAGCATATAAGAAATTTTAGCTGTTGAAGTTTGTCTGCTTACTGGATCAGAACTTAGAAGTTAACATTTCTACATTGTATCTTTTTGTTCTCAATTTCTTGCAGTAATAAATCTGTCATAGATTTTTCAGCCCATAAGGAAAAATAAAACCTGGTAGGTAATCAGGTTTGAGACAGCATTTTTATGTTCTGTAACTAAAAACAAAGAATAATCCATTAAAAATATAAATTTTGAGAAGTCTAACAGTATTAGACTTAAGAATAAATTTTGTTACTTAATCAAAATGCTGCATGTATCAAGCACCTGACTAAAGTATCCCTCATTTTAAGCTGTTTTTCACAGTTTCAAATTTGTGTGTTGTATTTTAATAATTTTATACCTATAGTGGAAGTGCTCTTGCAATGGATGAAGCCTGTAAAACGATTGCGCACACCAATTTCCTACAGACTGCATGAGACTATAAGGCCCAGTTCTCAGCTCCAGCGGAGCCACAGATTTATCCCAGCTGTGCGCTCGAACCCGTTGATGTGCAGAATTACTGGTGATCCCACTGCAAACCCCTGTGTCGATGACAAGTATTACGGCGTATGACCCTGTGTATCCCCTGGGTCACCGTCGTGTTCAGAAAGCAAGTACGTACTTCCCTCAGTGCTGTTGAGCCAGTAACTGTGCGAGTATTACAGTGAAACTGCAGAAGAGCAAGCTATGTTTTAGCATGCTTATCCATTAACAGAAAATAGTACGTTAGACCGTGATTTTTGGGGATCTGTGTGGTTGTTGGTGATTAATGGCAAATGACAGTCAAAGCTGAAAGAACAAACCCAATTTTTTTTCTTCAAATACCTGGCAGTGTATGAAAAGCTGGAAAATCTTGAATTTTCTCCTGCTGTCAGATATCACACTTCTATTTGGACCACATTGTGTGCCTATTGCAAAATTAACTAAAACACCAAATCATACAGATGCAATAACACATTTTAATACAACTGATTCATATCTGGCTGCTTTATTGGAAATACATACCTCCAGCTGATAAATATTGAACGCATTAAAACAAAGACAATACACTTATCTTCCTGACTTAACATTTAAAAAATTTACAAACATGCTGTATACCAAACAACAACAAATAAAAAGTAATAAATATTCTGAAAAACTCCATACCTCGGTATGAAATCCTGACCCTTTCTCCAACTAAGTACACACAGCGCAAATACACTGGGAATGCCAAGCTGCAGAGGCCCCTCGGCGGGGAAACCTGTGCTTCAGGCAGCCAAAGTGGAAGTTCAGGGACAGAGCGGGGGCAGAGAACGGATGACACTCAGGGGTTGATTTTAGAAGGAGCTCGTGTCTCCGTGTGCGATTAAATCGATGCTCTGCTTTGTTCATTTGGCTTTAGGCGCTGCATGTGAGTTTAAGCTCGTTTGACTATCGGTTTGTGGTGCTGACTGGTGTCCTGGCCCAGGTGAGGCCGTTTGGTGTCACACCTCCCACCTAGGCCACCTGAGGAAGAGGGGAGACAACAGCTCCCTCCCCCTCCCCTCACTGGTGGGGCCCTCCCTCTGTTTCGGGACAACCCAGCAGCAGAGTTCAGCGCCTCGGCAAAAGCAGCCGGACCACCGATGTATCCACTTTTAGCTGGAAAGTCTGGGTAAGTTTACGTTGTTAAAACCCCTGCTCAAGCAAGTACAGTTTTAGTCCGATGACGGGAAGTGTTCTGACACGCAGCCGCCCGCGCCAGCCCCCGAGGCTC